CGAATCCAAACCACTGGGCCCCAAACCACTTGGGAGGCTGAGAAAATTTGGGAGGGCCCTAAACTGTACAAGGCGAACGAGAGCGAAGCGCGCTTCCCTGCCTCACTCGCCGGGTCGCAGCTTAGAGTCTTAGATCGGCATGGCCGGACATGGCGCGGGTATCCATCTAGCAGTGTCACGTGTTGGCAAGCAGCACTCTGCTGCATTCTGAGTTGGTACGATGTTTGGGCTCCCAACAACTAAGGAATGCTTCAGCAATGCGAACCACACCCATACGTTTGCTGGCCTCAACAGCGGCGCGGCATGCTCAAAGTCACCTTTGGGGTCAACCTTGCACGTGTCGGTCGCTTTGCGGAGCACGTCGAGTAATCAAGCCCAACGAATTGCTGTCTGGCCTCAGCCCAAATGAGCCACTGAGAAGCGTTCGCCGTCCTCCTTTGCAAACAACTGGCCAACCAAACATGAACCACACATGAACGCATTCCATGTGCCCTAAGGGTCAGATCGGGGCTTGGTACGCAGAACCCAAAATTCCGCGTGCCGCACCCCGAGTTGCTTCAGGGGTCTCAGAAGGACATATTGTGAGGCCCCAAACTTCATCAGGACCAATCGGGTGAATGAACTGCGAGTCGCCAAGTTATGAGGCTTCCATCTGCGAAGGGTCGGCAACCCTGCAAGTTTGTCTGACCATGGCGCATGTCTAAAGCTCTCAGACCCGAGAATGGGCGCGGCGGCGAGTCCAGGCTTCACCTTGAGAAGGCCTGTGGGAATGTCCCAAATGTTCGGACCCTCCCAATGGTTTTCTAAAGGAATCATACTGTGGCTGGACGTCAGGCACTTTGGCAGCCGTACTGGTTCAAGTGAATGGTACCGGAGGGCGTGGAAAGTCCAATTTTCTAGCATTTGCACGTCGATATCATCTCCTGCGCAGATCCCCAAGCAGAAAGAACCTTTGGAACGCCCGGTTTACCCCTGGATCGGTGAGCTCGCCATAAAGTATGCAGATTGAATCGGGGATCCTAATATGTGTCCTCACACTCCGTTTTTTGCCGTTCATGTGAATTTGGCTGGAGGGTAGGTCCTGAAATAGGGGCCCTAAGCAAGCTTGCTTCATACGCGCCAAGGTGCCCATACAAATGGCCCAAATGGCAAGCTCCAGGACCCTCCTTCTGATGAATCCCCGCTTGAATCAGTGGGCTGGCACTTGAAGCTGTAGCACATGCCGACGGATTCCCACGCGTCATGAATAAGACATGCATTGCAAAGGCTTTAAGCCTCCATCGGTATTAAGCCCCCGGAAACCGCCCCAAACTCCTGGCCTCATGGATTCAAGCTGGAGGTGCGGCAAACGGACATGACCCAGGGTTGAAACGCCTCCACCCAAGCCTAGGAGGAACCCAGCCGTGATTCATAATGTTGCTGGCAGCAAATAGATGGCCCTGGTAAATGGAATAAACCCCATCTAAACCAGGGCCCTCTGTTTGTTAAGCAAACCAACCAAAAAGCACACCTGTGCTTGCTGGTATTTCCTTCTTTGTATTTCACTATTTCAACTTTTCGTATTGCGGAAGTTGTCAAACTAAACTCTTTTTGGTTATAAAAGCACCTACAGGGGGAAGAACAAGTGAAACCCACAGAAAGCACATGCAAACCGTTTTCTAAACGGCAAGGGGATCCTATCCCACAGCTATAGTCATAAGATCGACTGTCTTTGAATGCTCTTTGGCGCGGTCAGGGCCGGGTCCGGGACCCCACGCAGGATCCCTGGTTGGGAGTAGCTTGAGGTGTTTCGCGTTTTTTCTTGGGATTTCTTGGGTATTTGTTTAACAGGCTTGGTCAATTGGTTGACTTTGACCTGAGGTTCCAGTGTAGAGAGGATCCGGATCAAATGTGGACACCAACCGCCCACACCAAATTCAAACAAGTCATGAGCATATCAGGAGCATCTCAAAAATCAGCTTCCCCTCACCCAGACTTGCCGACTGGCGGCCGCGCACCTTGGTCTACTTTCACCCAACTGCACCTTGCCAAAAGCAAGCACATGTGTTGCTTCTGTGTTTTCTTTCTTCTTGTAGAGTGCATGGGCCAAAACAAGTCACCTAACTTTTGGTTTACCACTGAAATGGTCCCAACAAGTGACTACAGTCCAGAAGGATCTGTCTTGTTTGGAGTTGGTACCGCCTTTTTTTCTCCGAACGAGACCAACAGGAAAACCGAAGCGAAATGTAGATCAGCTTTAAGATGCCTTAAGCACCTGAGTTCACCATGGTTTGGCTTGCTTGCAATTTTGTCATCCACCCTGGCCAAACCCTCAACATGTCGCTTCGGGCAACTCAGAAAAAGAAGAAGTTGAAGTTGGGTCCTGCAGTAGAGAGGGTAGCATAAGGGTGCCCGATGTTTTTGTCTGTAGCCAATTTTAGCGGAACCCAACCCCAACCCCAAAGTTGGGCAACAAAAAGGGCACCAATTGCTGGGGGACCTCGTTGAACGGGTGCTGGACTGGCACGAAAGACCAGTTTCGCCGCGATGGCCCGCGGTTCTGGGCCTGAGGGGCGTCTGGCCTGACTCCGAAAATGGGTGGTTGCTCGTGTTGAATTCCATGGAAACGCCTCTTTCCCAAAAACATGTTTGAAGCATGTGGGATCATGTGGGTGTCTTTTGTTGAGGCTCAGCTTCCTTCTTGCGGTGGGGATTGCCGCCAATTTTGGAGGTGCCAAATTCTGAGATGGCGAGGCTGGACTTTTGAGTGGGCTCAGAAGCAGCTGGTGGTTGAATCCCCGCCCCCAAAGCACTTCAATGGTTTCATGGTTTGAGGTGACAGGCGCATGCGCGCCGGGCAACCCTTCTACTGTTCCAATGGCGACAAGAACTCCGCTTCTCATGAGAGCCGAAGAGGGCCGCAAAGAAGCCAAAATCCAAACACCAAACGTGCAGCCCGTAGACGCGTGTTCCCATGTGCTCAGCATCATGGAGGGTGCTGTATCCTTGAAACAACAGTTTGAGCAAGCTTTTGTGGCAACGAAACTGCCACGAATCCTTCCAGGCCGCCCGGCTCCTTGTGCCGAGGTTCCTTTTGAGCAAACCTCTTAGCCGCCACAGCCACACATGCTAGACGCGAGTTTTTGCTCCGCGGTCGCACGACCATCCAATCTTTTGTGCCCGGGACCGCCAGCGCACTTGAGTCAGCGAGTCATAAAACAAACCTGTCGCGATTCTGCATCATTTCTAATCCTGGAGGGTCCCCTTGAACCAAACCCAAAGCCGTATTTACCGTAAATATATATATATGCTATAGGTATGCCTCGTCATGAAAGGAATCGTCATGGCCGTAGGTCGTCGGTTTTTGGTTGCTAACATAACGCCACATCCATAAACTAGGCTGTCCTCAAATCTCCTCGAAAGGCTTAACTTTTAGTGGGTTAAACCCTATTCACCCCGGACGGCTGGATTGCCAAACAAAGCTGATTGAACGTGATCCAGGCTGGGATGCAAAGCTTGGACTTTGCCCATAAGATCCGCCGGCGATGGGCCAGAATGCTTCTGGGGTCAAAAAGAAAGTCAAAGGGAAAGAACCGACTTTTATTGGTTGTTTTTTCTGTTTTTGCGAGGTATTTGGAAACAAACTCAAATGGTGCGCACACATCGGATGACCGTTACATCGCATTGGAATCACAGGCTGGTGCCTGTGTAAATGCGCAACTTAAGGCGGTGCAACCGGGCAAAGCGATCCGGCCGGGCAAATCGATCCGGCCGGATTGAAACCCTTCCTGTCCGGCGCGACTTCCAGGCATAGGCAAATCCTGTCTAGGTGTCCTCAAGAGAGTCTTTCCGGGATTGCTCTACTAGGTCCTCCAGTAGAGAGGTTAGAATAAGGATACCAACTTTTTATCTGTAGTCGATTTTCGTAGGGGAACCCTCCCCCAAAAGGGCAAAAGGGCACTCCGATCACCCTTTGTAGGTTTCACCCGAAAAGTCCACTCTCCAAAAGCTCCCTCCAAAGGGTCATTCGAAGTCACACTCAGGCCCAATTGCCAAGCAGGGATCCTTATATTATACACCTGAACATTGCCTTGTAAGTGGTGGTTTCCCTTTATTTTGGTGGAAAAGGCCATGTTTCAATTGGTTGCAAAATGGGGATCTTTTAAGGAGCCCTGCCAAGAGAGAGGTCTTTCTACCCTCAACCAAGACTGGCGGGCGGTTTGGAACCGCGACTTGTAGAGGGCAGCTGGGAAACCATTCCAAACCGAGCCCAAACCACCCGAGAAAAGGTGAGGCAAGGGATCTGCAGGTTTACCCCCCCCCCCCCAAAAAAAAAAACACCGACCCCCCGGAGCAAGGAATCCCTACGCTCCCGGCGGAAATTCCGCATCCGTATGAGCAACACCTAGGTCCTTTGGCGGCCCGCACTTGAGATGAAATTGACGTTACAACATCCTCACCTTTCTAAACAAACACATCCCAAAACATCCTCAAACATGACTTGGATGACGTTGGAAGGGGAGCAAACAAATTAAATGTTGGCAGTTAAGTGGGGATTTCCCACTAAACCACAATATGCAAAAATGTGTCGAATGTTTCCCAGTTGACAACCATGCTGAGCAAAAGAACGGTGGACACTGGCTGAACCGCCCTGGGCATTCACCATACCTCGAATGACTGGCTTCCGCACCGCGACCTTCAAAAAATATGTCTTGACTCTTTGTTAGCGTCTCACTTGCGCCAAAACACCTGGGACGAAATGGACCTGCAACGGAAGAGCTGAGGTTTAAACCCCACCCCGCGGAGTTGTTTTGGAAGTGTGGAAGTAGGCCAACTTGGATGCATCAAAAGGAACCCACAAAATTGTGTTTTTCCCTTTGGTTCTGCTTCAGAAACACCCAACGAGGGTGCCCTTGAACAAATATGTGGACTAACTTTGCGGTACCAAAGAGATCAAATCAGGTCCCATTCGCTTTGGGCAAGTGAGGCGAATCGCTCCCAGCTTTGGAGAAGCAGCGACACAAAAGGCGAGAAGATGAGGTGTGAGTTCAGAGTTCACACCCCAAAAACCAAGCCTGCATGAAAGCACAGGGTTCCTTGAGAATGTTCTGCTATTTTGCTCCCGTGTCCTCGTGGAATTTTCCAATACTAAAATCAGCTAACCTCCAAATGGACGAGGTGATGAGTAAATCGACCACTCAGGTCTCGTCGCTTCGCTTCTCGGCCTCTCGGAGTCTCGGTCCTGAGTGTGGCACGAACACCTTCTGACCATTTCCCTTCAGCGTTGCTCCCCGGGGTCTCCTCCAAACATTTTTTGCGTTCTAGGGTAGACTATTAATGTCACAAAGTCAGAACACATTGGTCTCCGCGTACCCCAAATGAACAATTTCCTGTCCTGGTGGAGAATCAAGACGTGCCTTGTTTGAAGCAGGGTATCAAAAGGCAAATGCTGTCTGGGCAGAGCCATGGAGCTTTGGCCTTTAGGGCCTGCCTGATAAATCACGTGCAACTCTTAGGGCCTTGGCGCAGGGATGATCATCAGCCAGCCCATCCTAAAAGGGTGAGTGTGCCGTGCCCAGGAAAATGAAGGACCCCCTCAATATGCGGCCTTTGCCAAACCTCCTGACGCGAATGGGACCCGAGGGCAAAGTGGCCAACCACAACAAGGCGCCAAACACTGCCGACCCACTGAAAGTTGGCCAACTCAGCCAGGCAAAATGAGAATCGAAACCAGGGATGTAGAGGTGCAATCGAGAAGCCAAAGGTTTTGTGTTTTAAGCAGAGATAATCTGGCGATTCTTTCTTGAGTGGAGTACTCTAGGGGTTGGGTTGATTCAACCATCGTTCTTTCAAAAACCGGCTGTTACCCTGGGTTTTTGATGGCTTCCTGAAAAAGATTCAGATCCCTGGAAAGAATGGGGAAGCGTCTCCTAGAATGGTAGCAAGCCACCCGTTGTTTTTTCTAACAGCCCCCAAACCTAAAAAGATGAACAGAACCAAAAACAAGCACCACTAAAAACACGCCAACAGTGAAGGTACCCCTAGAAGTACAGCGAAAAAGATGGCGATTCTTTCTTGAGAGGGAAATTTCAGTGATGAAGATGGTAAGTACAGCAACTGTCCACGGCATTTTCAACTACAGCCGGAGCTTCTCAGCGGACTCTGTAGGAGCGTTGCAGCTCCGGAGGGGCCTAAGCGGCCGTTCAAACGCATCGCTCGGCGCCACTGGGCGGTTGGGGCTCCGTTTGCGAGCCAATCTTTGCTGCTTGGGTGTGTTTTAAAGGGAAACCAAAAGGAACATACCGTTGTTCTTTTTTTTGGTGAGGGTGGGACCTCCCCTCCCCCAAAAAAAAACAAAGAGGAACCCATGTGTGGACTACCCCCAAGGTAGACTTGAACCCAATCAGTTCCCCCGGGGACATCATCAAAAAGGAGCCCTGGGGGTGATCCCCCCCCTTTACAAGCAACAGGTCGTTACTCTCTTTCCACATGGGAGCAGAAGTCTGCCCAAACCCTGTCAGCTTCCATGATTGGACTTTCCAAACCTTGGCATGGTAGCAAAAAATAAAAGTTTGTTTGCAACTCCCTACTAAAAACGAGCAGAACCAAAAAACGCTGAACACCCCAACACATGCCAACAGTGAAGTGGAGGCACTAACCTTTTCTAGGTTTGCTTTTCAAGGCCGCTGCTGAAACTGAAACCGACAGTTCCAAGAGAAGGGGCCTGTGGAAAACCCTCAGAGGCTGCACCAAAGACCAGTCATGACTAGTAAAAGTAGTCCCTTTTGCCGCACTGCCCTCTCGCAGGTTCATATGGAATCCGCGGAAAACCCGCATCTAAACATCAGCCTCCAAGGAATTCCGGGGGTTAAACTAATTGGTATGGGTTTGCGGGGGGACTTAAAGGCCTTCTTTCAAGTCATGATCATGGGAGATGTTGGAAATTAATTCTGCAGCTCCGAAAATGTCCACTCCGCTGACCTCAGCTACATCGTACTACTTCCCTCTGATTGGTGGATTGGTGGTTTGGAGGTTCCCCAGCCTCAACAAGAAGTGGTTCAAACCCCAGCTTTCTACCAACCAAAACCGCTGCAACGTGAACCTCAGGTTTTTTTTGCCAGCCCAAACAGCTCATTTGAGAGCCAGTCTTTTGCCTAGTCCCGTAGAAGGGAACATGAGCTGATGCCAACCTGTTGCAGTTGGCATTTCCAACATCCTCGCCACGGTCGTTTGTCGTGTAACAGCTACCTACTTGTCCGCAAGCATGGTTGAACCCCTCAAAATGTGATCACTTTGAGACCCTGGTAGTTTTGACACCGCCAATCGCGTGGATTGGCCCAGCAAAAATGACAAGCTTGTTGGTTACCACCACCCAGAGGCTCCTGGGGCTTTCAATGGAAGACCCGGCCCCTCCATTAGACACCCCGGACGTGTTTGGGGGTCTCAAAACCTGGTTGTTTGAAGGCCCTAAAACAATCGGGAGCCTTTGGGCAAATTATATAGTCCAAACCAAAAAGTGACCAAGTCCAGGAGGGCTCTGTATTTGCTTTGAGTTGGCACGGGAACCCCGGAGCAAACCGTTGAGCTCCCATTTGCTTCAGTCCACTGGCAAAAATGAGAAGATATCTGAAGCAGTGAAATCGATTCGCTTAGAAGCCAACAGAGGCACGTAAATACAAAGCTACTCTTCACGTTCATCGAAACCCAAAGGAACATCAGCAATATTCATTGCAGCAAATGGAAGAAGGAACACATTTCCACTGCAAGTGAAATCGTTTCGCTTTCAAACCAACGACGGAAAATAACACCTAGTCAAACTCATCTCTGGAAGAAACCCACGAAGACAAAAAAACAAACCAACGAGTTTCGCCCTTTCGGGCCTCCGAAACGCCCCGTGTTTTTTCCCACGGAACGTTCTCCGCCCCGAAAAAAACGGGGAACAACCCCCCTCCCCCCCCGGCGCCAACCGCCGCCCCCCGCCCCCCCGGTCGTCGGCTGGGCCTGGCCGGGGGCGAAGAAGCGGCGGCACACCTCCGAGGCCGTGGTGAACTCCGCGAGGTCCTGGCGACGGGACCGACGGGGCCCGGGCGCTGGGGACCCTCGGCGAGAGGGAGGGAGGGACGAGTGGGGACCCGAGCGAGGACCCGAGCGGGGGGTGGTGGATCCCGGGAGGAAATGTTTGTTCCCTGGAAATTTTCCAAGGGGGGGGTCGATTTTTGGTGGTTGCTTTTTTTTTTTTGGGGGGGGGGGGGAAGGCCAGACCAGAATGAACAGGGGGGGATAGGGGGAGTTGGGAGGACCCGAGTTGTTTGGGGTCAACCCCGGAGAAAGGTTCCATAGAGGGTCCCATGGGGTCCAACTTAAGGAGGGGGGGAAATCTCCTGGGGTCCAACTGGGGGGGCGAAATTTCCTGGGTTCATTTGTTTTTGCGGGGGAAACCCCAGACAAAATTGACAGGGGGATAGGGGGGGGGGGGGGTGTTGGGTGAAATATGGTTGAAATCAGACCCCTTTCGGAGATATGAATCCCAGAGAAAATGTTCATAGAGGGTCCCATGGGGTCCAACTGAAATGTGGGGAATCAAATCTCAGAGTGGGTGTCCCGAGGGTTTTGGGGCTGTCTTGGCCGCAAATTGCGAAGCCCTGCTGGCTTCTCTTTGGGTTGCCCTTGAAAAGCCGGTTGTTCGGCCCATGTTTGGGTCAACCCCAGAGAAAGTTCATACGGGGTGTTTTTGGGTGAAATGTAGTTGGAATCAGACCACTTTCGGAAGGGACACACCCCCCATATTGATAAACAGGGGGTTATTCATCCGGCGTCAACTTTACTTGGATGCTGGGCCAAGGTAGTCCGACTGATACTCACTTCCGATCGAGTGGTTGGCCCAAACAAAGCCAGAACTTGCAGTTTAAAGTCCAGGAACTCGGGAAGTGAGGATAACAGGGCTACTTCCTCCGAGCAACAACTGATTAACTTGGCCGAACATCCAAGTATCTAGGGCTACCTTCCCCATTCTTTCCAGAAATCAGAATCTTTTCAGGAAACCATCCAAAACCCAGAACAAAACGGATCCGGTTTTGAAAAGCACGTCGGTTGAAAATAATTGCTCACTTGCCCCTTAGGGACCCAGAAATACCAGGTTGACCTTTTGGCAGCTCCACTAAAAAATGGGTATATACCAAAACGGGCAAGCCAAAAGGTCAGATCCGGTCGATTTGCTTTGGACGCGACTGAGATTGGGATTGGAGAATCCACCCAACAAAAAGCTCCGGCTCTTTGCAGCGGCTTCCTGTAGGGTGTTTCCTTCTTCCGGCGCTTCGCAACTTGCAGCCTATGCTTCGGGGGTGTTGCGAGGTGGGGGAACGGGAAGCCATGGATCGACAAGAACCGGGCGACCCAAGATGAGAGTATAGGGACTTGGACCCACTTCTTTTGGGCTGCCCTTAAGAACCAACCCTCGGAAAAAGGGGTAACTAAGGGGACACTACCCCCGTAGCAATTAACATGGAACCCGAAAAACGCCCATTCCGGGGGGGAGGTTCCTTTTTGTGTTCCATGTGATTTTGTGCAAGGGAAGTAAACTCCCGGTCGGTCTGGTCTGAAACCCGGTTGACCTGCGGGTCCTGATAGTGGTGCAGCATGGGGCAAACTGAGCGCCAGAAGGACTCAAACAGATCAGGCGCGTCCACCAGCAGGACCTTCCCAAATCGCCGAGGGTAGTAGTTGTGGATGACGTCCACCATAAAGCACACCTTATTATAGTCTGCCTTTGAACAAATCAACAGCCAAGGCTTGCGAAACAAAAGCACCAACTGGTGGGGTGGCAAAGTGGCAAAGATTCCTATCACCCTATGGCGTCTGGCGTGTCACCCTGGCGAAGTGATTCATTGTTTACAACTTATCACTGTCTTTGGGGGGGAGGGGTCCAAAAAGAGGCTCCCTCTTTACAGAAAATCCCCCCCCAAAAAGGAAGAAAGAAGACAAACAAACATGTCACGTAACCCTATCAAACGAGTCTCCTTTTTTTGGCACCCCCACAATGGTGGTTTTCCTTTTGGTGTCCCTCGTTAAACAAAAAAGAAAAGAAAAAGAGTTACCCTCAAAGACAAATGTGGCCATTGCCGGCCGGCCCACACTGGCCTTTGAACCTCATGGCTACCTGAGTTAAGGGATGTTCAATTAGCTCATGCAGGCTGTGCCCTTTTTAGTGAACCCCCCCCTTTCAAACAAAAGCTATGCGCTTGGTTCCGCTTTGAAACCCACCAAAGCCAAAAGGGCGTAACTACCTTCAACAGACACACTCAAAAAAAAAAGCCACCCAGAGCGTCAAAAAAAGGTACTGGGGAAACTGGCGCTTGATTGACGTCCCTGATTTTTTTGGATGTAGCCTAAGTGGCTTGAACACCCCTGTAGCCAAGAATCCCTATCCTTGCTGGAACTGAACAAGGGGAACCAACAGGTCAAAATCGGTCAAAAGGTCGATCCGCTTTTGGCAAGTGAGGAGCCATTTCCCTTAGGGAACCTCCAAAGTGTCGATCGTTTTAGCGGAAACCACAAAAAAAGAAAACCAACAAATAAAAGGTGAAAACGGGAAACCAAAGGGGGAATCCATCTCTAATAGCCTGTGGCCGAGAAAATGACCCGGGGGCCCCCAACAACTGCTTTTTCCCATGTCCAAAGTCCCAAATACCATCCAAGAAAGCAGTTGGGGGAGTCCGTCTGTAGGGGCCAATTCCATAACAAAGGCAGCAATTCAATCAGTAGTCTGGCACAAACGAACGGTTGGTCGTCAAACCCCCTAAGCTTAATGCTGGCGAACAGCTCATTTCCCTACAGGCGCAGGAGTGAAGTTTGAATCCTGGGTTGATCAAACCGACCCCATGCAAAACTTAAGTTATTTGCTGTGTGGGGAACAAGTGTCCTGAAGGCTAACGGATAAAAGAACACACGGTAGCCAAAGCTAGTTAGAAGTTAAGAGAAAAATACGCAAATACACATCATGTTTACTAGTCACCTAAAAGGCATACGCCAACGCACACCACATGTCGTTTCGCTTGAAGAAATGAAACGTCAAGGGGCAAACTCGAGGTCGGCTTGAAGGGGGGAGAAGCCATTGAGATCCACCACGGCGATGGCTTGCTCGTTTGGACCCATCTCGTCCCCGTCCTGTCAGCAGATGGAGTCCCAAGAAAGGCGGGTCTCAAGGCTCCCCAAGGAACCCAAAGGAACCCGAAACATCGCAACAAGCCCCCCTTATGGTACCTACACTCCCGGATGGGGATTCAAGAAGGGCGACTTGCTGAGATTCACTGGAACCGCTTCCATGCGAATTGGCTCCTTCACCACGAAAAAGGTTCTTTGGTTTGGCTTGGCTTGGATAGGGGGGGCCTTCCCCAATTTGGGGCTGAAGGACCTGGGGTGCAAACACCCAAGCCAATCCAAACCGAAGGGGTGCAGGGGCGCAGGGATCACTGGATTTATCCAAATCAAGAGTTGATCAAATTTGGAGGTTCCCTTTAAAGGGAAATGGCTTGGAAATCGTTTGGTACCTGAACCCTAAGGGCGCCAGCTGAGATTCATTGACCTTGAGCGCGGGTAGAAATGTGTGACTGGTGAGGGAAACCCAATGAATCATGTTGACCCCGGATGCTAAGTAGAACCCGTCCCTATGAATGATTCGAGGGCATGTCCTGCCCTCCAGGCGTTTCTCTTTGTCCTTAGTGATTCCATCTACTTTCTCGGCTCGGAGCCACCTTGCGATGCATTTGCTGAAAGGCAAATATGATTCCAAAACCGCTGGTGCAACAAATGATCACCCCACGAAAACGAACAACGCAACGCAGCAACAGACTGACAGCTCGCTTCCTGAGTGAATTGGACCCAAAAAGTCTGAACTTTTTTGATTGCCAATAAAACGGTCTTCTTAGACAGTTCAGTCCAGAAACTCGGGGAGTAAGTAATTGGCAACCATACTTGACAAAGGGTAGACGGTTGGCAAACAGCACAGGCCCTTTCAAAGGGCGCTACCCCCCCCCCAGCAGCATTCCTCCAAATGCGGGCATTTATCTCATCAAGACGCTAAGACTTACAGTTGGGGGAAGTTATGCTTGTGAAAGGGAGTCAACACCAAAGAAACGCACAAGACCCAATTGGGAGCCGACCCAAAGTGAAAAGAAAAAGAAGCTCCACCCAAAAGTGATTTTGTAAAGTCCAGCTGAACTCAAGGAGTGAGTTGAGGCAACCAAGTTGCTGAGTGTGTTCTTTCTTTCCTTGGAGGCAACCCAGTTCTTTCGTGCTTTTGATACTTTTTTCTTGGGACGGGGGGGTGCAAAGCCCGCAAGCTTCCATTCGCGGGGCTCGGGCCTTGGGCTCCTTGGTGACCAGGCGGTCCAAAATGCGCTCCATGTACCTCAGGCACAGGGATAGCCTGATACCCAAAAAACAATTCTTCCTGTACCTCAGGGAATTTTCAGTTTGGATTGGATTCATATTTTTTGAACCCCTGGCTCTTGTAGGGTCGGCAAATGGGGCTTCCCACCAAGCCGCCAATATAAACCACCTATTTGCGGGAAGCAGGAGCGTGTGCCATTGTTCAAACCATTTCAAACCTCAACCTGCCTCCAGCAAACGGAACAGGCACAAAAGAGCACCTGCTGCAGTGGTCCATGAGACAAACGCAGTTTGAGCAAGAGGCCAGCTTACCAGAACCTTGTATTCAAGCCTTCCATAAGTGCGGTGGAAAACGTGAGGTGGTACCAAAAAGTTGGTCGCTTGTTCTGGGTGTAATTCGAAAAACATAAAATAAAAAAGACTTACCAGTTAAAGTCTAAAGATTGACCAAGAAAATCTGAACTTTTTATTCCGGGGCTTTGTCCCCCCCTTGTCCTTCCCTCAAAAGCATCCGCTTCCTGGTAGGTTGGCATCCATGTTCCTTTTGGAGTTTAAAGGTGGTTCGCTTGGGCTGCCTACTATACAGGCAAACGGATCTACTGGGACCTCCTATTAAGAAACCCTGGGATGATGATTCCCCTGCAAATACCAGGTCGTTTCCCATGGTTTCAAAGTGGTGCGAAATGGATTTCGTCCATCCACCGTACTATACAGCTAAATGGATCCACTGGGATACGTATTGAAAGCATATTTATTTGCAGTCTCTACTTTTCGCACCAGCAAGACATGACCCAACAAGCATCCCTCCCGCCGCTTCGCCGCCGAGTTGCCAGGCGCACATGGAGCAACTCTCCTTGAACCTCCGCTCCAGCACGTTGTGGCGCTGCGCGATGACCACCAGGCAGGGGCGACCAAAGAGGTCTGTGTGCCCGTGCAGGTAGGCCTCGTGTGCAACAAATCTTCGGTTTAGGGAAGCACAAGGTGGATTCGCTTGAAGACTTGTTGAAGTTGTTTAAGCAAAAAAACGTGGAATCCAAATCTTTGTTGAGGTTGTCTACCAACATGTGGATTCGCTTCGGGCAACTGAGGGTTGTTTGAAGGGAAGACACGAGTAAACACCACCCATTCGGGGGGACCGCCATTTTGACACAAACCCATTTGTTGGGGAAGGGTATCGTCAACTTCAAGCTCCAAGGTGGTTCCAGGGGCTCAGTTGTCCCAACACACGCACATACCCCTCTCCTAGCTTGCTGGTTCTCAACAAACAATGAGTTGGAAACACCCTCGGGCTCGGAAGCTCTTTCCCTACCTATGGAACCGATCGCGAGCTAGGGGCCAGGTTTGGAGCTTGCTTTTGCTTGGTTTTCAGTGGGGGTGCAAGAGTTCCCACTCTTCCATTTGCTTTTTGCGCCCCCTGGAAACAATCAACATATGTCCCATAGTGAAATCTATTCCCTTTAAAACCAATAGAGAAAATAAAACATATCCTTGAGCAATTGAAAGCAGTTGCAACCAGTGGCCCTGGTAGAAAAGGGGAACCGCTTTTCGGTGGGGAGGGAATTGGAACCTGTCTTGGGGGTTGAGATGTCTTTTTGCCAGTCAGTTCCATTAGAGGGGATACTAGGGAAAGGTAGGAAGGGTGCCTCTGAACATCCGAGTTTTCGTTCAGAGGAACCCAACCAAAACAAAGACACACACACACGAATAGACAGACCAAACCACGCAGGACAGGACAGGACAGGACAGGACAGGACAGGACAGGACAGGACAGGACAGGACCCTTTCTCCACAAAAGACCGCCTTGCTTGCCTTGCTTTGGCAAACCCATAACTTTCGAACACTCAGGCCTGATTAAAGGCTTCAGCAATTCTTGCCCTGTCATAAGATCCCGAGAATCCATCAAGGTGATTCTGTCTGCTTCCGATCGAGTGGATGGACCGAACGGCGTATTTATCATGCCCCTCCCGAATGGGCACCTCATCTCACTTCCTGAACTGAACCTCTAACAAGGTCTTCAAAGGCCGGAAAAGTGACTAAAGCCGTTCTGAACGCAGGGAGTGAGTAACAAACCACCTGCTCTAACTGTCGTGCCCAAAGATTGGGAACATGTGTTCCTAGGTCCTCTAGTAGAGAGGTTAGAGTAAGGGTACCCTTTTTCTGTAGTCTATCCTGCTACTCCAAAATTCTACAAAAAAGCGGGTTCCAAAACATAACCTGGTTTTCAGAGGAGAAACCTGGGTCTCAAAAAGCTTACGGAAAATACAGGTTTTGTACTGCTTTTATACGGGGTTGTTGTCCGGGCTTCACGAAGCATAACCAGGTTCTTCAACCGAAAACCTGGTTTTCGACGAGAAACAGGTGCAAAACCTGGTTTTTGCTGCCCACCCCACTTTTTTGTAGGTTCTTTGAGTATTGGGATTTTAGTAGGGGAACCCTCCCAACCAAAAAAGTTGGTAAAAGGGCACTGCCGGGGGACCTTGGGACCCTTGACACTTTGTTCGGACGCCAGGCTAGGTCCTCCAGTAGAGAGGTTACCCTTTTTTTGGTAGCTTATGTTAATAGGGGAACCCTCCCAACCAAGAAAAGGGGTTAAAAAGGGCACCTAGCTGGGAGACCTAGCACATAAGACATAAGTTCAAGAACTCCCCCCCCGGCCTTTCTGGAGCGCATCTCCTGGAGCTCGGCTCAAGAAAGCGAGAGTCCATAGGGAAGCGGCTGTCTGGTCCCCAGCTGACCCAACTTGTCCCAAAGACATCCTCGTTTTAATGGGTTGTCCAACCAATGGTCGCCCCCTTTCGACCACCAAATGGCCGAGAAGCTGAAATTCCGCTTGATCTTCTACCACATCTCAGCCTAAAAAATCCGAAAACTCCCCAAAACACAGTGGATCCTTAATTATACCACTCGCTTTACCCCCAAGCTGAAGTAGGTCATGGCCTTCGCCGGTTTTACACCCCTTGCGGACGCATCTCCAAATTCCCAGCGGACAAAAAATCCTTCGCGAAGAGCTCCGGGCCCAGCTTCTCCACCTCAGCAGCGGTCTGTGACCCTGGAAAGGAAAAAACGTCGGACAGCTGGGAACGTTTTTTTGGGGCTTGGACCATGGTTTTAGTGGGTTTTAGCCATTAAAAAAAAAAAAACGAAAAAAAAAGGGAAAACAATCAAAAAAAAAACAAGAATTGGTGCCACTGAACAAAACACCCAGGTTGAGTGGGTTTTAGCCACAGAAAACTCAGTTGCCCAAAGGACCTGGAACTATAAAAGGCGATCACCTTTTGGGACCTCTACTAAAATAGACCAAAAGGGGAAAACCAAAAGGTCAAAAGGTCGGCTTTGAACAACTGAGAAAAAGGACAAAGAATGGGTGCCACTGAACAAAACAACCAGTTGCCCAAGGAAACTGGTAGAAAACCGAAGCCGCTTTTGGTGCCCTAACCAAACCTTCAAGTGTTCTCAGGGGTGCACAAGTTCAAAGATTGCCTTATGCTTCAAGGCTCGTGCAGAACAAGCTGGACCAAACTGACCCAAAAAAGAAGAAAAGCAAAAGAGCGAAACAAAGAACAACAAACAAACAACAACGAAGGCAAAAAAAAGGAAAAGCAAAAAAAAGGAATGAGGGAAGAATAATGGGTGCCACTGAACTGAGCCACGGAGAAGCTCTGGCGCCAGCGGAGGCACGCCAGCAGCTTCCGCGCCGCGGAGGTCACGTCCAGGTTCCGGTCCCTCCAGCGTGGAAGCGAGCGCGCCCCCCGGGTTTTGGGGCGGGGCTCGTCTAGCTCCAGTAGAGAGGCTAGAATAGGTTGGCACCCGTTTTTTTCTGCTCTTTTGTTTTTCAATTTTGGGAGGGTTCCCCTCCCCTACTAAAAAAAGGAGCAAAGGCATTATTGGGGGACCTAGTCTTTTAGGAGACTCGGTACTCCCAAAACGGTGTGTCTTTTTTCGGCTACCTTTTGGGTGTTCCTTTCAACTAAAGGAAGAAAACAGCACATGTGTTGGGGGGGGGGGGGGGAGTGAATTTCGGCTTTCCTTGTATATGGTGTTCCCTTAAAACTACAAAAACAAAAAGCATGGTTTGTACATTTGGTGTTCCATTAGAACTATACAATAACATGCAAAAGGGGAATGCGTTGTGGGGGGGCCTGTTTTAAGACACACTACCCTCAAATAGACACCCCCAACATGGATTTCGATGTTCCTTTTGGCTTTCCTTGAAAACCGACCCTCCTGTCCAATCAAACCTGCCAAAGGTCCCATGTTGTGTTGGAAATTGTCATGCCGGACCCAGGAAGGTTCCACGTTATTGGACAGGAGGGCGATTTCTCCAAAAACTGGGGCAAGCACGAAGAACGAACCCGCTTTGGTTGGGCAGCTACTGGGCAGGGACCTCCTCGAAGCTGAAATACAAAAGCATATGCGTTATTCATTTGCGCCACTGGACGTGTGTTTCCCCCTTTTTGGCGGGTGTTGCCGGCAAACCCGGCCGAAAAAACCAACGCTTCAATGGAAGGAGCCCGCCTGAGGAACCACCAGAGCAGCGCGCGATTCTCCGCCGCGGGCCGGCCCCGCCACTTCAAGGTCCGAGGGATGAGCTGCTGAAGCTGCTGGACGCACCTCGCGTGAGGGCCAGGGCGGATTTGGTGTCAATATCCAATCAAACATTCGGTGGATGGACAAAATATTGGTTGCGAAATCTGCGAAGCCCTTCGAAAAGCGACTAACTTTTAGTGGTTTAGTACGGAAAAAACATTAGTTGGCAACAAGTTAAAGTCAACTAATAGCCAAGCAAAATGCACCAAAGAAATCCATTGACCACCTTGGGCGAAAAGTCGATCTCCGCTTCGGGGAGCGCGACTGAGAGACTACCTCCAGTAGAGAGGTTAGGATAAGGATCGCCGACTCTTGTAGCGGAAGCCTCCCAGGAAAAAGTGGGTCAAAGGCCAGTACTGCTGGTATTTGAGGGGAACCCTCCCCAAAAAAGAGCCGGCAGAAGTTGGCCCCTAGCTGGACGGAGACTTGGCCCCGGGATGGATTCGCTGGTTGCTCTCTGAAGCCGAGGCGCTGCTCCAGATGCTCCGGGGTGCGGTGGATCAAAGTGCCGCGCCTGAGGGAAGAGGATCTCCGGGAGCGAAAGCCTGCGAGGGCGGGGGGGTGGAAGGGGAGGAGGGAGGGGAGGGGGGGATGGGGAAAGGGAGGGGAGGGGGAGGAGGGGGGAGGGGGGGAGGAGGGGGAGGGGAGGGAGGGGAGGGGAGGAGGGGGAGGAGGGAGGGAGGAGGAGGGGGAGGGGGAGGAGGGGGAGGGGAGGGGAGAGGGGGAGGGGGAGGGGGGAGGGAGGGGGGGAGGAGAAGGGAGAGGAGGGGGAGGAGGGGGGGAGGGGGAGGGAGGGGAGGAGGGGGAGGGGGAGGGGGAGGGGGAGGGGAGGGGAGGGGGAGGGAGGGGAGGGAGGGGAGGGAGGGAGGGCAGGGAGGGGAGGGGAGGGGAGGGAGGGAGGGAGGGAGGGAGGGGAGGGAGGGGAGGGAGGGAGGGCAGGGAGGGGAGGGGAGGGGAGGGAGGGGGAGGAGGGAGGAGGGAGGGAGGAGGGAGGGAGGAGGGAGGGAGGGAGGGAGGGGAGGGGGAGGGGGAGGGGAGGAGGGGGAGGGAGGGAGGGGGAGGGAGGGAGAGGGAGGGAGGGGGAGGAGGGGGAGGAGAGAGGGAGGGGGTGGAGGAGGAGGGAGGAGGGGGAGGGGGAGGAGGGAGGAGGGGGGAGGGAGAGGGGGAGGAGGGGGATGGAGGGGGAGGAGGGAGAGGAGGGGGAGGAGGGGGAGGAGGGGGAGGAGGGAGGAGGGGGGAGGGGTGGGGAGGAGGAGGGGGGGAGGAGGGGAGAGGAGGGGGGATCTTGAAAGAAGTAAAATAATTTTCAGAACAACTTACCAAAATATAAAAGATAGGTTTATAATTCAAATATTAAATAAGGTTAATACATTATTCATATTCATTAACCTTATCTAATTACTTGAAAATAATTTTACTTCATTGAAATATTATATAAGGTTAAGAAGTTATTCTACATATTAACCTTATACAATTTTATGTAAAATATTTATTAATAAAAATAATGTTAATTTTCTTCTGCCTGTTTCATTTCTAAATTTCTTTTATGCTTATTTGTTTTATTTTTGTTGTATTTCTTTATACTAGTTTTACTAGTAAAACTTCCTTGAAAATATAATCAATATTCCTTGAAACTAATATTCATCAATAAATCCAAATCATAAATCTTTCAATGCTTTTTCTATTTGTAAGGATTTGTTAATTCTTACGTCTGTATCTAGATTATCAAAATTCCGGCCTTTGTGGGTTTAGTTTATGAGTTAATTTATAATTTCAGTTCAGGATAATAATTTAATTGACAAATCTCACTTATTTCATACATCATTTTAAAAATAATATTAATATCTCTCACTGTGTTTTTAACATTAAACTTTTTATAAATTTCAATATAAAATTTGATATATTCTTTAATATCATCTCCTTTCTTTTGACTATGACACAACATCAATAATATATCAGCAATCATTACATATTTTTTCTTACTGATTTTAAGAAACTGTTTAACATATTCGTAAGGTGGTAATTTATTTACAGTTAAAAATATTAAAATGTCATCTTCTACATTTCTATTATGTCTTCCTTTTATTCTCAACAAACATTTGATTATAGCTTGGTTATCTCTCCAGGTTTTACAATTTTCACATACATCTTCTTCACCCATTGAATAATCAATAATATTATTTATTATTCCATTAGGTAAATTTAATTTATACAATTCCATATTTTCCTTTTTAAAGTGGCAACAATCATAGCATTTCTTATTAATATACTTATTGATTTCAATACCGTTCATTTTCTCACTAATATATTAAGTCACTATTTCCTTAAGTCATTTTCAAATAATGAATATAAACTTAAATTACTAACAAAATATTACAAATCATAAATCTTACAATTTATTTTTATTGTAAGGTTTATGGGTTAAAATAATAGTCAGGCAATATGACTTCAAATATGTAATCTACATATTTACCTATATCATCTTCATCTATATATTTGATATTGTCTTTTCCTATTATTGAATAAATATATTCCCAGAAAAACAAATTAACTAATAGACATACTTTATATTTAGTGTTGTAGTAATACCATATACTATATTCAGTTACCCTAAATTCGTTCAAGACTTCATTTATTTTATCTTTGTCTAATAAATGCCAGTCAATCCATTCAAACAAATAACGGTATTTTTTGACAAATGCTTTATATGGTTTAATTGCGTTTATTCCTCCAAACCTCCTAATTAAATCCATATTACTAAAGAATTCATCAATTTCATTTTCATATGACTTTCTGGAAATCTTCTGGTAAAAGTGTATAGGAAATCTTGCTTGGTGTCGCATAAAGAATTTTAACTGTAATTGAAACTTTGTATATCCCTTATCCTTATGTTCTTCAAGAAAAAACTTTTCAAGGTCTCTTGTTATACAGCATTGATTGCAATATACATTATATTCACTTATTTTATTACATAGATTGGCGGGTAATAACTTATACAATGTTATATTAACATCATTCTTTGTATTTTTACAGCATTCGCACTTGTTATAGTTAAACAACATTTCACTATAATATATTGAGTCATTATTTCCTTAAGTCATTTTTAACGAAGTACATGAGATATTTTTTGTTTTTGTATTTCTATAAGTCTTTCATATCCTCTGACCACTCCGTCAAAACTAAACACATAATTTACGGAACTTTCACCTGCTAATTCACAAGTTTTTATTAATTCATTAAAATCTTTTTTCAACTGCGTCTCATCATGCTCTAATTCAAGGCATGATTTAAAACCTTCATAAAAGTCTTTCTTGTTAGTTTTAAAGTATTTAACATCTAGCAAAGCATATTTATCTCTTTCACCTTCATAGTGTTCTTTTACCTTTATCATTTCTTTCATTAATTCTATTCGTTCTTTTATTTCTGCGTGTATCTTCATTACTACATTAAGTCATCATCTCTTTAATTCTCCAGTGATGACTATGTCATCATATTATTCCATTTTCAATAAAATAATGACCGTATGCTAAACTATCACCTGTATTAGTCCAGTATCTTTTATTTTCATAACTATTCAAACTAATCTTTGTTGTTCTAATACTATAAATTTTATGGTTTTTACTTCTAATACTATTGAATGATTTATGTATAACTTCATTAGTTTGTAAAACCTTATCATATTCTTTATATGTCAGTTGCCTCCTCACTATGTGCTTTGCTGTGCCCTTGCATTTCTTATGTTCTTTTTCTTCTCCATAGATTTGAAAAGCGTAACACTTAGGACGAAGTCCAATAAACCCTGTAATAATTTTGCTACTGCATTCATCCTTAAATTTACCCAACGTCTTTTTATTAGTAGTATCATAGCATTTATGATAAATAGGATAATCTGAAAAATCCATTTCATCTTTAATATCATGAAGATCTTTATAAATGTCATCAGTCTTAGTATGAAATACAAAACTATCAGTGTCAGTATAAACCATTCTAATATTATCTCCGTATTTAGATCATAACATCATAATAAAACTTATACATATGTTGCTTACTCAAATCTAAAATACTCATTCCAATGAATATAGGTTTATCTAATTTCAATTGTGCTTTTTGTTTCTCAACTCCTACTAAATTATCGCTGATGATATGACTATGGTTAAATGATGGATTATTAACACATTTCATAAATCTTGTTTCATCACTCACTATTTCAAAATCTAAGTGTTTCCTTTTGTCTTCCATCGTTTTTCCGAACACGGCATTATTCATTAATTTGTAAACATCTTTCTCAAATTCATTGTTGGCATTCTTTCTTTTCTCAGTGTTAAATTCAATGTAAGGTTTTAATATCTCTTTCTGACTGAATTTTATTGCTCTGTGTATTTTCTTTAGTTTCAATCCGTGTTCTAAATAAAACTGTAAAGTTCTAATATGGACTACATACTTTTCTTTGTCTTTTAAATTCAATATTAATTTATTTGTTTTTTCATCTTTAGGTTTTTTCTTATTCAGTATTTCATAAATTTCAACTTGTTTATCTGATAACATATCTCTTTAACATTCATAATTTCAGGTGCCATTGGATAGTCATTGTGTAAATCGTGTAGTTCTTTAGGGTATTCTAAATCAACTTCTAAGATGTATCCAGTATTACCATTAGCGTAGTTTAAAATATCATCTTCTGTTATTTTAGTATCCCACGTTAAATTTTTGTATGGCAGTTTTTGTATCATTGCTAATCCATATAAGTTATTAGCATCAAAATAGTTAATATAACTACTTTCTTTGCTTTCATCAAAATCATCGCCCATATAAATATTATTTGCCTCTACTTTCTTACAGGCAGTCTGTGTCATCCCACCACGAAGTCCGGTCTCTATCATTTCATACATATCTTGGTCATAAACTAAATCTATTTCAACACCAGTTAATTTTAACATAGCATCAAAAGCAAAATTAGGCAGTGTGTAATAATATACTGGATCTAAATCGTAATCTTGAATACATACATCTCTAAAATTTTCAAAAATATCAGTTAATAATAAAACATCTGTTTTCAAATACAAATCGTGATATTCACCCATGTTTTTAATCTTAAAGTGTTTCCATATTACTTTTGCTTTTTCATAGTCTTCATCCGTTATTTTATCCTCACTTAATCTACTGTAAAACATATCTTTAGTTGGTAAACTTTCATCTTCAAACTTTTCTATTGAATTCATATAGTCATACGGATAAACTCTTTTCTGTTAGTAATTCCAAACATTTTTCAGTTTTAATAATATCTTTCTTTTTTTTACTAAATCTAAAATTGTTCTGCCAGTTGTCTTTTATTATCCATTTTCTTTTATCTTTATCATCTGTGTTATCATATTTTGTCAATGATACTACTTTATCTAAAGAAGCAGTTATAGAACTAAAACTGTCCTTAACACTTAAACAATCAAAACCGATATTAATAAACTTTTCACTGTTCTGTGCTATTACATCTATGTTCTTCTGATTACTTAACTTATCAGCATTTTGAATAATTAAATGTCCATCATAGTT